CCGAAAAAAAAAAAAAAAAAAAGTTACTGGCTGCAACTCATGTTCTTGTGGGTGAGACAAATCATTATAAAGTAATGATGTAGTTTTTTGTTTTTTACAATAAAGTTTATGAAAAGTTACTATTATGGTTTATTTGATGTTAACTCCCTTAGTTTTGCTAGAGTGCAGCTTCTATAATAAACTGGAAGTGAGCATTAAAATAACGGTTATTTTCTGATAGTAAAACATGTTCACCAAAGGAAATGTAGACTACGTAGAAAATATAAAGCAAACAAAAACCACCTGTAATCCTATTGTTTAATGGGTGAGTATGTAACAGCTAACAATTATCGTGTGCTTATCACGTATCAAGTATTGTTCCAAAAGTGTTCTGCATGGATTAAATCATTTAGTCTTAGTAACTGCAAAGACACTTAACCTCCCAGTTGAAGAAACTGAGGCACAGACTTTAACTTGGCCTACATTCTCAACTATTTGTGAATGTTTATTTTTCAAATTAGAACTACAGGATTATACTTTATATACTGCTTTGTTATATACTTTGCTTCAAACAACATTTAATATATTTCTTTCATGATTGCTATTAAAAATTAAATAGTTGTATAATATTTCATTTTCATGTTATAGGATATTTTGGACATGTCTAGTTTTTTGTTGTTCTGTAGATAATACAATGATTAGGATCTCTGATTCCAAGTCTAGCCAAATCTTAACTTTGTTAGGATCATTTCCAGGAAGCCAAACAAAAAACTACCTGCCTGGGTTTTGAAAAAATAGTAGAGGTTTGTGATGGAGAGGAAATTTGCATTTTAAGCAAAGCCTGTTAAGGTGAAAATGAAGCCTGACAGATGATCCAGGTCAATGGTTCTGGGGTCAGAGACCTCCCTGAGAATATATATGATAAGAGTTACAGACCCTGAAGCCTATCTATAGGAGGTCCCTTTTGGATGACAGAGATTATAGAACCCATTCAATATGTTGATAAAGACCAAACAGCAGCATATATTCCTAAAGATGTTTCCTGAAGACTGGGCCATTTTTAAGTAGTAAACTGATATAATTTATCAAGTGATCATAGCTCTTGAGGGAATAAATTGTGAAGGGGAGGGGACAGAGCACAGAAGTAACCTTTTGGCTCTTTTGAGATATAGAATACATTTTCTGAATTTGCTAGCAGCTTAGTTATCAAGTTTACTAACCCAAACTGGCCAGAGTAACTGAAGTCCTACCTGACTAGGACATGAGAAAAGATCACTGAGATTTAGGTTACCTAACATGCTTGTGTCAGACGCAATGTATTTTCTGGCTCTTTTCAAGTTAGACTTATCGATACTGTGTTTTTGCTTTTCATTTTGACCTGTTAATCACAAGTATATATGAAGAATCTAGTTTTTACATGGCTCAGAAGGATACAAAGATACTCCCACAAATTGTTAGGAGGCTACTTGTTCAGGAGAGAGAAGCCCTCCACGCTCATACTCAGAATAGGGGAGACAGAGTAGAAGCCATAGATGGAAAAAAGTGCTATGGGGGAGCTTAAAGCAGGGCTAGGTTAGGAAAGGCTGATCCTGCAAAGCCTATGTACAACATATTACTTGAGTTGGGGAAAATCAGCATGATCGAGATGGCTGGAGAAAGTCATACAACTTTATGATGCCTGTGTAGTGAAAATTAGACTCAATAGAATAATACTTACTTGATTATTTAAGCTGTCTCTAAAGAGTAGGTATTTCACAAATAGATGTACAGAAGATGAATTAACATATCCAAAGCCATGTAGTTTTAGGGCTAATTCATTATTATGTAAACTTTTTAGTCAGTCAACATATATCTGGGCACTTCCTGTGAGCCAGGCACTAGGGGAGATACAAAAGAGCATAAAATATGGTCCCTGTTAGTAACTCCTATCCCAGTGAAGAGTCAAGATGTCAAGTAAAGGCAAACGAGTACCACGACCATCCTCTGATCTGTTCTTTGGTCAAGGCAACTCCAGCAACTTAACCTCCTGCAGCTGCAATCTTAGGCTGTCCATCATTCCACTGAGTTCTGAAGAATATAGCCTTTTCTGGAAGAAACTCCTTTCTTCAATGCTTCAGGCCAGTTTTGAGTCTCAAAGTAAGTGGACAGGATATCAAACACTGTTAGAAAGGTAAACAGAAAATATAGTGACCATACAGAAGAAAAAGAGAACTAGTAAATTACTAATGAGGAAAAAAGTGTTCTGGAATATTTTATTCAACAAACTTAACTCTACCACACACGATACTAGATCCTGCGGAGACAGAGGCAAAGACATAGGCCCTGCTTACCTACAAGGACCTCGGCCTACACTGAGAGATACAGGCCTGTGAATGGACAGTGCTGCAACAGAGAGGAACACAGTACAATGGGAACAAAACAGGCCCTGACGTGGCCTGGGATGTGGAGGGGAGCAGCCAAGATGCCTGTGAACTGAATTCTGAAGGACAAATAGGAATTCACTGTTCAATGACAGACTGAAGGCATGGCATTCTAGGACAAGGGAACAAATTCAACTATCTTTAACATAGTTGGGAACCAGGAAGAAAATAAAAACTGCCTCTGAGAGGCCAGAATACATGTCACAAAGTACATACAGTAAAGTCCAAGCACATCAGTCACAGAGGAGACTGCTTCAAGGGCCGTTTATACTGAAACACAATGCAAAGAAGCAGCAGCAGAACTAATACATGTTAAGCATGGGCCATGTGAGCAGTACCTTGATTGATGGCCAGTATCTCTGAATGATAGTTTTTCCCATTCTGGCGTCTGACCATGTATTCCTGGATTGGTAAGCGAGCAGTCTTGACAGAGTGTTCTTGGGCCTTTTGAAATGTCACCTTCTGTAAATCACAAATATTTTTCTTATAAAAATAATACACAAAGATAGTCTCGTAATATGCAGAGCAAACTGTAAGAATCCTCATGTACCACCACCCCAATTTCCATCTGTAATCATAATTAAATAAGTGTATTAAAATTAAGTAGCCTATGGTAGAATGGAAGAAAATGTAGATAAGGAAAAATGGCTTGTGCAGCAACACCTCACTTATTTGGGATTCATTTATCTGCTGGCTTCCACTCACTACTACTTACAACCAAGGAAATAAGTAAAAAGAGGCACATCTGCAGCCACAATCTGCATCCAAAAATCCAAGCCGTCTAACCAATGAGAGGAGAACACTCCTGGCCCTAACTCAGTATGACCCAATTCTGGACATCTGGAGTTTTCAGTCATAGCCAATTGGTAGCAGCAAATTAGAAATAAGGGAGACAGGATTCGAGTCAGGTATACCACCAGCAACAAGACAGTGTTAAGGTATGACAGCATATAGCCCAATGAAAAGGAAAGGCTCTGAAAACTAGAAAAAGAAGGCAGAACTCAAAAAATCCAACAATCTGAGGCCATTTAGTGTCAGAGTACAGTAACTAATGTCCCTTTAAAGATGTCCCTGAGTCATGGACTGAAGTTTAAATTACACTCACTACCTGGTAAGAAGCTCTGGGAAGGTCATCTACCTATTTGTAATTTCAGGATTAAAGGTTTAGATTACTGAGAAAATTAGCATACTTAGGTTTGGAAGGGACCTCGGTAGTTAACTATTCCACTCCAACCACCCATCCAATGTTTGTCTATCCTCTATGAACTTTCCCACATGGCCTCTGGCTTTAAATGGACAACCCTTGTGACAGGGAGTTCATGCATCCTCGGGTAACCAATTTCAATTTTGATAGTAGCAGTTCATAGGAAATCTTCTTGATACTGAGGCAAATTTTCTATTTTCCCTGAGACTTCCAGTCATCTGTGCTAGTTCTGTTCCCCCAGGGCCACACCAGGCAAGTAAAATGGCCCTTCCACAAGACAGCCATTCAGACACTTGAAGGCAGGGATCATGCCCTATGAATCCTCTCATCTCCAGACTGACAACCTCAGTTCTGTTGACTTTTCCTTGACTATGATTTAGTTTGGAGTCCCTTCATTATTCAGGTCAACCTCTTCTGAACTTGTTCTAGCTTGTCAATGTCTTTTCATTTACTGTCCCATATTGAGTATGGTCTAACCAACTGGAACAGTGTGAAGCAGGCCTAGCACCTTCTTTGTTCTGACACTGGACTACCTGCCTCTCAGATTCACATGAAACACAATTCCAAAAGAGGACGTCCAAAAATGTTTTAAGTGCCGCAATTCAGATGGGATAAAGGTACAGCTACTCAAAGGACTTCTTTGAAGGATAACACTCCTTTGCATATATTAGCTATGATCATGTTTTAAGTCTATTCCCTTATAATCACTTTGAACTGAAGTACAGAATTCAAAGTTAGTAGGAAACTTGGATGCCGCGCTGAAGGAGTTTATAGTCTAGTTTCTGTTCTCTGAACATTTAAAGATAAAATGACTCCCCTTGAAGAAATCTTGTTCTTAGCATATTTCTGTGAAGAAGCCAAACTCTTAACAACTAAACAAATCTTTGTGCCAGTTATTTTTCAGTTTAAATGGTGGAAAATAAAAAGAGGACAGTGTGTTAAATTTGCACATCTACAGATCATACACTGCTCACTGGCCCTCTAGAATTGTCTGCTTCAAAAAAGGGGATGTCACTCTGCTGTGGAAGACTGTATTTGGTTGTTATGTCTCTTTAATCTCTTTTAACCTTAAATAGCCCCCATGACTATTTCAGTTTTCATTACATTGACTTTTTTGAAAGTCTGGTCCAGGTGTCTTGTAGCATGTCTCACATCCTGGATCTGTTTATGATTAAATTCAGTTTAAACATTTTCTAATAAGAATACTTCACAGGTGAGATTCCATCACATCAGGAGGCACATGTCACTATTGGTGATTCTAAGTTTGATCATTTGTTAAGATGGTGACCTCCAGATCACTTTATTGTAATGGTACACTTTTGTGGGCTGGTACTTCGAGACCACTTGGAATAGTCAGTTCCCTCACAACCTTTCGTTCAGTCAATTCCCTGAATCAATGATTACACTGAGAGTGACAAAATGATGATTTCTCAATTCTATTATGCATTTCTCATTTATTAACTGGCATTCTTTAGAGCTCTCTCCTCCCCCCACCTCCTGCCCATTTTTTAGATTATCACTATGGAGTCATGGAACTCTTTTTTAGAATAAATGCAATTCAGTTAAGTATCATCTGTGTCAAATATGTGTATGTATCTCATATATACATGAAAAAATACACTCACATATATGAAAAAATATATATATAAAATATACCCATAAACACATACTTGTGTGATCACAGACTATATCAAGAGGGATACACAAGAAAACCATGGTTGCCTCATGCAGCGGATACTGGGTGACAAGGATGAGAGGCAGACTTACTTTTCACTCTGCTCCTTTTTATACATTTTAACCATTATATCATTATTTATTAACTATGCAATATGCTAATATTAAAAATTATCTCAACAAATATTTGTATAATAGAAACATATTTCAAAACTCCAATTATTCCAATAAAATTCCAATTCAACAAAAGAAATCTGGATGGTCCTACTAAGGTAGAGATTATGGGATAAGACTTCTGTCAACAGGGAAGATGGCCTAAGAAGGAACAAACTGCTCTTTCACAAAGAACAAACAGCTGGTAAGAATGCTGAGTCAAAGCTTCCTTGGTCAAGATCAGAGTCATCCTTGCAGAACTGAAGAGAGGAGAGAAGAAAGGAGTTCAATAATGGTTATTTATGTAATTACCAAATACTTCCCATTCCAGTCCCTGACTGGATTCTGTCAGGTCAGTGTTGCTGACATTGCTGATGAGAAGAGAGGGAAGTTGGCAAGTAGGAGGCCCAACCTAGGCAGAATAGGCTCCTACTTCCTATTGCCTCTGAGTCTTTAGGCCTTTTGGCCTAAGATTACGACAGGGCAAGGATTTCTTTCTCTAAAAGAAAGCGCCACTTTTCAAAATGTAGTTGTCAGGCCTAAAATGTACACCTACCTTCTGAATGCTTTCGTCCACAAGTCCACCAAGGATGTAAACTTTGTTTAGATCAACATCTTCAAGAGCTAATGAAAAAATGAAGGCCACTGAGGTCAATCTGTTTTATAATTTCTAAATCCAAATACTGTAAAAGGAAAGAATGATTAATGATAAAAGTAGAAATTTAATGAAACAGAAAACAAAAAGATAATAGATTTGCTAATTAGATTTGCTAATTCCCTAAAAAGATCAATTAAATGTCAATTAATTAGACATATCTAATCAGATATGCAAACTCAAATCATCATTAGGATTCAGAAAGCAGGCAAAATGTCAAAGGAAGGTAAAATTGAAGAGAATACTGAGATCAACTTAATACAACAAAATTGAAAATTATGCGAAACAGATGATTTTCTGGGAAAAAAATATTTATCTAACATCAATCTGAGAAGGGTCAATGTGAGGAGGTGACGAGGAAAACTCACGAGGATTACCAGGTAACTAACAAGCTCCAGCTGAGGATGGAGACCCTAAATCTGTGCAGCTGTGTGCACATGGCAGGACAAATATGAAGCATTCAGTGAGGTCTCTGTCCATAAGAGGTGTGCAATTAACGTCCACTCCTTTTTTTTCTTGGATACACCTTGGGTGGCTTTAACAAACTCTGACCCCGGGAATAATGAAATAAAGGGCTGGATGCAATGTGCTACATGAATGCATGCAGTAAAGTACATACCATGTTCTGAGTCAGGAGTCAGGTACACAAGGGTTTCCAGAGGAAATAAACTAAAGCAGTCTTCTTCTGTTATGTCTAGCTGAAAAATGTAAACAATCCAATGTAGTGTGAACTAGGTTAAGACACAGCCCACGCTGTAGCAACTAGTTACAGGGCATGTAGTTTCTATCAGGCATGGCTCCAGGTACATCAAGAGGATACATGTCTGACAACCTGTTCTCAGAAAGTGCTCAGTTGGGTAGCAGAAGTAGAAAGGTACAGACATTCGACCCTACAAAATGAGACAGAAAGTGGTATGAGGCCCTAAGAGACATACCGGGAGCATGCCCCAGGACTACAGAGAGGGAATGACAACACCAGGGACAATGTTCTAGCAAAGGGAATGCTGGAACTGGGTTTCTGAAGAGGTGAGATTGACACACGTACAAAAGGAAAGAAGTATTCAAAGTGGAGGGAATCACCTAAGAAAAGCATGAAGACAGGAAAGCAAGGGAACTGAACTACAAGGCTCTTAGAGTGGATCTGTTTGGCTCACATACAGGAATCATAAAACACATACAGAAAAGTAAAGCTGGGAATGGCTGTGTTACAGGAGGGATCATTAAGGTAACAGCAACCATGACTAACTGTGCAGCACCACATAGGGCACTTTTCACACTCGTTGCCTCAGAGGACCTCTCTGGAAAAGGCCACACTACCCAGTCTCAGCTACATAATGCAAACACACAAGGGCACTTTTAGTGGCACTTCTTAGGCCACTGATCTGGATTCTTGCCTGTATGTCAATCACTACATTTAAGAGATCCTAGAGAAAGTATTGAAAGTAACTTAGTACTCCATAAAACTCATCTTAAATCCATATTACTTCCATAAGGATTCTCTCTCTTTCCCCCAAAATTCATGTTCCCTAATTCTGCACTACTAAGAACAAGAAAGGAATCATGGCATGTCCCTAAAACATTCCTGGTACACAGTCTATCATACAATACACTGGATACAAAATACAGCCCTAGATACTGGTAATATTAGTTTGCCAATGCAGTGGAAGGATAAAAATTTTAAAACATAAGAACTGATGAGAGGTTCTAAATTTTTAAAGATTGTAATAGTGAAAACATATAACATATAAACATAAAATTTTTTTTTACATTGAAATGTGAAAAAGTAAAAAAAATTTACTATTACCCCCTCCAACCTACTTTTCAGATGACAATCCAAATAATATGCAAAATGAGGCTTACCAGATAACTAGAAAATCCATCATTCATCCTCAAACACTCTTCATACAGGGGACTGTCTGTGGTGAATCCAGTGAGGCAGATCCAAAATGGCCTGTCAGCTTTTTTATTTGAGCCATACAACCTTCGGATCTGTCCAGCCAGTCTACTTAATTCCTTCGAAGAAGTAAGGACAATTTATGGTAGGAACATGCCCACTCTTTCTAAATTCATTATCAACAAATGGTTACTCAGTAAGTTCACTGAACACTACTCTGGGAAAGCTCATGAATTCAATGGCCCTTTTACTCCAGGAGTGAGTACATGCATGTATACACGTGTGTTACATCCCATGATATCACACCTTATAGATGAAAGTTAAGGTAATGATACTAGCCCAGAAAACCAAGACCTCTCCCTCCTTCTGGATCTGCTGATAGATATGTATACATAAATATATACATATATATATATAAAATTTTTCTTTTAGCTTTTACCTAAAATCTTACCATGTGGGCTTCCCTGGTGGCAGAGTGGTTACGAATCCGCCTGCCAATGCAGGGGACACGGGTTCAAGCCCTGGTCAGGGAAGATCCCACATGCTGTGGAGCAACTAAGCCCGTGCACCACAACTACTGAGCCTGCATTCTAGATCCTGTGAGCCACAACTACTGAGCCTGTGAGCCACAACTACTGAATCCCACGCCTAGAGCCCGTGCTCCGCAACAAGAGAAGCCACCGCAATGAGAAGCCGTGCACTGCAATGAAGAGTAGCCCCCGCTCACCGCAACTAGAGAAAGCCCGTGCCCACCAACGAAGACCCAATGCAGCCAAAAATAAATAAATAAAATAAATAAATTTATATATTAAAAAAAATCTTACCACGTGATGGTTACTGTTTATCAAAAAGAGATTAGATTACTGTGCAGACGTTTTTATACTCCATCAGTTAAACTTGGCACCTTCTCCCTAACTTCAGGAGCTGTCACAGGTTTGGAAGTTTTAACTTTCCATTCTGATTTATTAGAGATATCACCCATATAGAAAGGTAGTTTCACAATCTGGCCTGATTTGGTTCAGTACAGGAAAAGAAAAAAAGCTTTGGATTTGATTTAATCTGAAATCTCAATTAATATAAACATTAGAAAATTCTTATTTGACCTTTTCAGAGGACTATAGTTAGAGGTTCCATGGAAGAATCCTAGATCCTAATTTCTCTGAAAAACATGCAAACACTAGCATGTATAACAGGGACGTTGGAAAACACAGATTTCTTTTGTGGTGTAAGTCCTAAAATCAAGGCCCAATATTGTGTGCCGCTTTGATATCTGGTGAAAATGAGAGGCCTTGAATGGCCTAACTGCAAGTTCCCCTCCCAATTCTGCTCCCATGGATAAGGTTCACTAGCTAAACAATTTTTTTTTTTTTATCAAAGGGATTCCTTTGATAAAGTGTCCCTGCTATCCCTGAGTAGTGGGTTTTAATTCTCTGCTAGCCCATGGAATTATTACAGCAAACCAATCACATCTTCCTGTAGGAATCTAATTTCTTGATACTACAAAACCTACCCCCCACGGCCCCTGGTTGTTCATTCTGTTCCCGAGTGCAATCCCATATGGCCCTGCATGATGTCCAGTGTCATCCTCCCTCCCCTCGGGCTGAGTATATGTGTCCAATAAACTGCTATCGATCTTATCTGTCCAGTGTCGAGTGTTGTGTGTTCAGCCATCCCCAGAATCATAGGGTGAAAAATCCCTCCTTCACCGACAGGGTAAATGGGCGGCTTTTTAAAACACACACATTGTAGAAAGACCTCCCACCAGGTAATCTCCCCACAACATGCAACCAGGCAAATATTCCTCTCCCCGGCAGAAAGCCAAAGATTTCATCTCGGGAGAATTAAACCTGAAAGGCTCCATCTAGACTGGGGATACCATAAGCACAGAGGCAAAGGCAGTGGGCTCAAAACAGAAGATAAAGGAAAAAATTTTAAACTAAACCATATGTCTATTCTCTTCCTGATTCTTTACAACAGCCATCTCAGAACTTAGTAGCCATGTGTAGAAAACTAAACACATTTGCTGGTTTACCAGAGAATCATAGAAGCTGGAGCTGGTCATGTTCTTTGTGAAAGCTGTTCCCACCTGGACCTCCCTCAGGTGAGCAGGAATTCAGAGTTCAGTGGATGTTTTACCTTCTTAGACATGTGGTGGGTCATACTCAAATCGATACAGAGTCTTGGTCCTGAGTGTTTGGCTTCCAAAAGTCTTTCCTTGGTTAAGGATCTCAGAAAACGTTTGCTGTGCTGGGGGTAGATGCCTAGAGTAGAAATATCAGAAAGGAATAAACATGGAAAAACTGAAAAATGTTATTCAGTAAGAAATAAATCTCCCCAGCCAGGTGAGTAATTTTTGCATATGAAGAGAAACTGGAAGCTCATGCAAGGTATTCATTCATTAGGCAGTTTAGGTATAGCAGAACGGTGAAATGAGTGCTCTGGAGCACACTGCTGGATCTAAGAGTTCAGTTTGTTCATTTATTACCTATATGATCTTGGGCATGTTATTTAATTTCTTTGAGCCTCAATCCCTTCACCTAGAAAATGAGGATAATAAAAGTACTTACCCTTATGGTAATCCATGTAAAATTCTTAGCACTGAACCTAGCACACAGTACTGAATAAACATTGGCTGTTGTTGGTATCATTCTTTCTACTTCTGAGCTTATAAACACATACATGCACTAGACAGCTTCTATTTGAAAGGCAGCCTCAAATGTTGCTCTCTTTGATACTTTGATTCCCAACAAAATAGGCTAATAGGTCCTATCTCCCAGATGTTTGTTTTACTTAAAAACACTATCCCTAACTCTCCTAGGAACAGGCAGATACCAGTTTGCTAAGAAATAAATATAATTACACCAGCAATCTGATTTATTGTTACCTGAATTTTCTACACGGTTGGCTTTTCTTCTTTCTTTCTCTTGTCTTCTTTTACTCTTCTTTGCTGCAACTATCTTTTCCCAGTGTCTCTGTTTTCTTTGGACATTTTTCTTATGTTATCCAGAAAACAAAATTGTTTGAGAACTTCATAAGCACCAAAAAGGAAAATGAATATTAGAAATAGTTACTTAATTATTTTTTAAATTTAGATTAAAGTTAGGAGAGAAAAAGGGTATTAGTCTTAAAAACAAAAATGGGAGGGAAGAGATATGGGAACATATGTATACGTATAACTGATTCACTTTGTTATAAAGCAGAAACTAACACACCATTGTAAAGCAATGATACTCCAATAAAGATGTTAAAAAAAAAAAGGACTAGATTGCGTTTAGAGAAAGCAGAACCCCAGAAAAGAGATGTGACATGCCCAAGGTCACAGTAAATTTATTAGGGACAGGGTTGAGATTTCCTGACCCTTCTGAGGTGTACAAAAATTCCTCTTAACTTTACTTACTTTTTCTATGACTCAAATGGAACTGAAACAAGCCAGGAAACTCATCCCTGGGAATACGCCTAACTCATTCCGTCTTTTTTTACCAATATCTATCCTTAGAACAGGGGTCTCCGGAACATTCCATCGTCTCAAAGCCCGTGACCATAAACAATCCATTCCACTCACCGAGCGCCACACTGCATTGCTTGTAGTCATCTCCTCTCGATGCTCACATTCCACGTCAATCTGTAGAAGCTGGAAGCTTTCAGAGATGCCATCTTCACCTGTGTCCTCTAGGGTGACTTCTTGCTCCTGCAGCACGTGTGACTCTGTTTTCTGAGCGCTCCCTTCTAACTTCCAATCCATGTGCTTAGTCCTCTGTCCTTTTCACCCAGATTAGGAAAGGCACAATTATGTGAGACATTACATTATTTAACTTGCAGAGGTATTTCCCTATACCCAAATGACAAACAGGGTTACTGCGTTACTGAAGGAGTAGAAGTGTGTAAAATACTAACACAGATTAACTGAACTGAGAAAAGCATGTGTGTCTTCTAGAGAAATAAGTCAGCACAGAAACTTTTCAGTAGTAAGGAAGCCAAATTCACTTCTTAGAAGACAAGCACAACTCCTGACAACCCCAAGAAATCAAAGATTATTCACTGCTGCAGTGACACAGATAATGAGTTCATTTACTGTATTCTTTGAAATGCACATATGAGTTGAGGGCGAGACAGAGATGGCAAAATCCACCTATCCCATTATGTTTCTGTTTATTTTCAAAACCATTCCTTTAGCAAATATTTACTGAGCATCTACTCTATGCAAAGTCCTGTACTAGAAACATCCTGGGAGGTTTAGAGCTAGCCAAAAATTATGGTAAAGAGCGGCCCAAAACCAACCAAGAATTCTAGGTTGCAAATATTCCCTCCCCCAACTCAGTATCACTGCAGCAGAAAGCCACAGTCATAGTGGAAACGGCTAATATCCATCAGAAGTGCCGAGGTAGAAAAATATGAAGAACCATTATTACAACACACTTAACTAATGTAATAATTTCAAAGTGGTGTTCAAAATCCTTGAGGAAGATATGACTAAGAAGTGTTCTAGTCTACAGCTAAGTGTCACAAAGAATGGTATAACCATTGCTCATGGCTGCTCCTCTGAGCCTAGTGTGCTACCTATATATTAGGAAAAGTGTATCGTTGAAAAAGTAAATCTATGTAATATGATCCATGCACATGGTAAAAAGACTTAGTTGTAAGAAAAGTAATGATCAATTAATTCTCTGACCCCTTCCACCTCTACGGGGGGGGGGGGGGGGGGCAGGTGGAGCTGGGCACAGGGAGCCTATGGGGTGTCACAGTCCTTGGGGGACATTGGCTAGTCCCGCAGTGGGCAGAGGGGAGGGCCTTATCCTGGGTGCAGGAAGGGTGGGGCTGAGGGGGGGGGGGGGTGGGCAACGCTTGTTAACCAGGTGTTTTTAGTTCTGGTAATTTACTCCTTAACCTGAAATCATATGCTTACACCATTACTTCCTGATTCATCAACTTTCCCTATGAAACACTAAAATTCAAATCACTTTAATTAGCCCCTTTTATTTTTAGCTCTTCTCTTAGTTACCTTGACCTTTAAATTCTTTTGAGGTATAATTTATACACAATGAAATGCCAAGATTTTAAAGGGTGTACCTCAACAAGTTTGTGTGTCGGGAGGGATGGTGGGGAGAGGTTTGAAGGGGTGGGAAGTGAGGGATGGGAATATACAAGCTCAATGAGTTTTTGACGAGCGCAGAGGGCCTGTATTACCCACACCCCATCAAGATATAGAACATTTCCATCACTCCAGAAAGTTCCCTTCCTTCTGCACTTTCCAAGTCAATCTCCATCCCATTCTCACTGCTTTCCAAACGCAATCATTGCTCTTTTTTCTATAACCATAGATTAGCTGTGCCTTATGTTATTTAAATGGACTCAAACAGTGTGTACGCTTTTGAATTTGGCATTTTGCCCCACAACTTGTTTTTGAGATTCATATATATTGCTTCATGTATCAGTAGTTTGTTCCTTTTTATTGCTGAGCAGTATTCCACACACGAATATACCACAATTTGTTTATTCTCCTGTTGATAGACATTTGAGATTTTTCCAGTTTGTGGCTTTTACGAATAAAGCAGCCAAGAAATTCTCATACAAGCGTTTTTGTGGACATATGTTTTCATATCTGTTGGCTAAGTACTAACAGAATTGCTGGGTCATAGGGTGGGTGCTATTTAACTCGTAAGAAATTGCCATCAATTTCCCAGAATGACTGTAACATTACACACTGCTGTCAGCAGTCTGTGAGAGTTCCAGATGGTCTGCAACATCCCCAACATTTGCTGTTGTCCGGGTTCTTAATTTTAACCATTTTTGTGTAGTGGAACCTCACTGTTTTAATTTGCATTTGTTTGATTATTAATGATATTGAGCTTTTTTTCATGCAACTTATTGGTAATTCATAATATATCTGTGAGATACCTGTTCAAGTTGATGACATTGAAATTAAAATGGAGTAATAGTTCAGGAATACAAAAATGGGGTTGGGTGGCCATTGAAGATCTGGTCTCTGGCACGTCTGCATCACTGAGAACTTGAACTTTCTCTGAACTGTACCACACCCAAGGACACCATCAGTCATACTCAGAACAACACCGGCCAGCTGCAATATTACGGTCTCAAGGTCTCGCCTTATAACTATGCAAGCATTTCAGACCCCAACCAATCCTTACTTAATAAGCACCCTTACTTCTTGCCACCTCCAATTATAATTCTTGATAAATAACTCATGTAACTAACTGTAACCTTGCAGTTTTTGCCTTTATAAGCTTGCCCCATTTTGTAGCCTGGAGGAACACAATTCAAGTGCTTCTTGAATCTGTGTCTCCCATGCTATAGTCCTCAATGTGGCTAGAATAAAACTCTCTTCTATTCCTATTATAGACTGTTTACTGATTATTTGTCTGGACACTTACAATGGCCTATATTGATAATTAATGATCATCCATTGTTCTCTGCACTATCTAGTCTACTTGCTGTTGCTGTTCCTTAAACATACCAAGGATATTCCCACCTTAGGGCCTTTGCACTTGCTGGTCTTTCTACCTTAATCCTCTTCTCCTAGATAATTATATGACTACCTTCCTCACTTCATTCAGATTTTCATTATCCAACATGGCACACTTTTTACTTATTTTTTTTTGTCTGAACTTTCCCCTTCCTATAATGTAAGCAAGTGTTCCGTTTGCTTCGTTCACTACAGCCTCAGTGCCTGGCAACGAGCTTCGTACATAACAGACGCTCAATAAAGACTTGCTGAATTAATAAATCCTCCACTCCACCATCTCTGCGTTGACAGAGGCCTCAGAACTTTTTTCTAACTCAAGTCCCACCTGATGAGCATATCCCTGGGCGCTAAGTGATAGACGCTTCTTTCATCTCCTCGTTCTAAGTGTTAGCCACCAAAGCCGGCTCCACTCCTCGGTCACCTTCAGCACTAGAACACCCTGACCCCAATCTCGAGTGTACCCCGCATGCAGGCCCAGTCTGGTCCATAAGCTGCGAGTACAACGGGAAGCAGGAAGGAATAGCGCCAAGAAGGTGGGGGACATGAGGCCACACGACTGCTGGGCGGGCGCCTGCTCCCCAGGCACCTGTCTGCCCTGCCCGAGAACGAGGCGGCACCCCCAGGCCGGACCCCCAGCCCCACCCCTGCAGGCAACGAGGCCCCGGCGTACCTGAACCCGTCACCTCACGCAGCAGCAGAATAACCCACCAAGCCCCGCCTCCGACTTCACTTCCGGTTCCTGCCCCTCTCCGAGTAGCATTCTGGGAGTTGTCGTTTTCAGTCTAGCGGCTGTGTGTTCCGCGAAGACTTGGGCTTCGGCTGCTGTGCCCACCGTAGTACTAAGGAGATGCGTCCCGCCAGAAGGTTGCCGCGCCTCACTGAGCCTCCGTTTCCTCGCATTTTAGCTGGGCATACAATCCCAGCCGCTCGCCGACCTCACAGGGCTGCTGCAGGTGACCAGGCGCTTTGATGGCTGTCAAGGGCTGGACACGGCGAAGGTGGGCTGAAACCAGACTCGAACCACCCCTCATCTCGCAACCTGGGGGCCTTGCCTTCCCCTGGTCTCCCTGGGCTTCCCCACAACCAGAAGAGCCCACGAGCTGACATAGTTCCCCTCACCACTAGCTGGCCATCCAGGATCATAACAGATATCCCGGCTTGGGCAGATCACGAATGAGCCTAGCCTCTGGCCACACTCCCTCCTCTTTCTCGCCTCACAAATCCACGGGGAAACTTGAGTCTCAGAGACCTGAAGCGACTTGTCCAAGCCTTGGCCTGATAAAAGCTATCAACCACTCTTCCCTTTATTCCTGCAGTCCTAGGGGTCTTATGCTTTCGAGAGACCCTACCATGAATGAGCCTGAAACACCTCCTGCCCAAGAAACCACAGCCTTGTTGGATCCATCCTTGGCCTCACGGTTTCCCCTCAGGACTTTTCTTTCCACAGCTTCTCCAGCACCTCCCACCCAGTCCCCAGTCCATGCTTTAACCCATTCTTTATAATCTGCTACTGGAGCAACTTGTAAAATACTAAAACTAAACATGCTTTCTTCCTCAAAGGGCTTTTTCGGAAACCCAGCTGTCTTCTCTGCTCAGAAGCTGGCCTTGGCTTTCCACTCAGCAGGACTTGCAAAGTGGCTCAGATGGTCTTCAGTTGCTCCCACCACATCTTCCAGTCCCTGCACCTTGCACTCAGCTGTACCGAATACCTTTCCTCCCTCCCTGCCACTGCTCTGGTGTCTCTTCACTTTTCAATGAGCTCATGAAGCTCATTCAAAAGTGGGGCTTTTCCCCACAGAAAAGGCCACCTAGCTGGTATCACTGCCCAGCCCCCTCCGGCCTCCATCCATTTGCCGAATGATTATGTGTCTCACTCCAAACCCCTCAGTGGTTTCCCATTGTAATTGGATGTAAAATCCAACCTCCCCAAGGCCTTGCATGGCCTGGTTCCTGGCTGACCCTCTGACCTCATCTATCACTCTTCCTCAAGCTTGCTGTGTTCCAGTCGCACCCATCTTCTTGAAATGCTTTAAACACAACAAAAGCCTTTGCAGTTACTGTTCCCTTTTCTCTCACTTTTTACATGGCTGGCTCCTTCTTACCCTTTAAGCTTCTGCTTAAACCTTCCCTCTTCAGAGAGGCCTTTACTGACCACCCCGCCCCCCCAGGGAAGACTGGCTCATCCCAGCCCCATCTTGGCACTCTTTGTTTTCTTTATTTTAATCTTCACCTATCAGTAATCTTTTTTTTTTCCTATGTCTTCCCTGCTGATTATAAGTTCCTTGAGGGGACTTACATCTATCATGTTAG